GCAAGGCTACGTTAATATTTTCTTATTATGAAATGTGAAATAAAATAATCAAATGATAATCAATTTCTAAGAAATTTTCATGAGCACTTTTATCTACGAATATTGATTGCGAGTTACTTTTATCGCACAAACCTTGGAAACGACGTTTTCTAACTTCGTTAAAACGTATTTCTTTTTTATTGAGTTATACGAGTTATTACATCATCCGACAATTATAAAGTTTATATCTCTTAAACGTTATTCGAATAGAACAAATGCACATTGTCTTTTAATATTTTTTAACTCCTTTAATAGGAGTTAAATATTAATTTAATATAATATAAGTTTCCTTATAATATATGAATTTCCTTGACGCATATAGTAATTTAAACGGGTAAAATAATAATTTAATAGTTATTCTATTCTGTTTATTTTAGAAATAAATGTTATGTTTGTGTTTATAGTTGCTTATGTTCACATAGCTTATTATAATAATTTTGTAAGCATATACACATACGTGTGTACATAAGTACGTATAGCTATGCACGTACCGTCTCATTTATTTGTTTATCCACGGTCATACTATATGAAATAAGAGGAGCAAGCTCGGATTTTATCTTAACGAATTTTCATATCAGAGATCTTTCGTAAACGAATGAAGAAACGTATGCGATCAATTTATCATAATCTTCTTGGGAAAGTAAGCATCGAATAAATGACACAATTGTATTTTATAAACATTCTCTCACCCACGCAGTCTCTAATATTTATCGTCGAAACTTTTTCCAGTTAATCGTTTCGAGGGTGTCACGCGATTCTTAATTTACCTTCGGAGAAATGGTATATTTATCGTTCGTCTTTTAAAACTTTTATGACGAGCAATAGAATAAACTTTCCTAAGCCCTCTTTTTTCACGATAGGAAAGAAAATCAATGTGTGTGTTTATATTATGAGATTAATGTGTGCTCGACTAATTAAAGATGTACAGAAAAATTTTCTTCGATAAAGTTACATCGTTTGAAAGTAAAAAAGAAAGAAAGGAAAAATAAACAAAAATAATAATCGCAGAGAGAGAGAGAGAGAGAGAGAGAGAGAGAGAGAGAGAGAAATTATTTCTAGAAAATTTTCCGAAAAGTTATCGCGTATTAGTAGAATATTCTATAGAGATGAATATTTTAAAAAGGGGTTAAAACACGGATTACTATTGTAAGTTAAACGACGGAGGGTTGATTTACGGAGCGCACAAAGAGAAAATAATGTTCAACCTATGAAACTTATAATGCGAAAAATACGAAAGAAGAAAGAGGTGTGTGCACGCGAGAGAGACGTAACGTGGTTATAAATAATGAGCGACCAGTATTCAAGTAGGCAACAGCAGCGTGAGCACATCGTGTTGCATGTTTAAAGAAATGTGTAATAAGTATGGGGTATAAAATTCCTAACACGAAATGTAAAAAGAGGGTAGCGTGTATATTCAAATAATGTGATTGGCTCGTTTTACGTGTGCATACAAAAATGGTATGATTTTTTCAAAATGATTTTAATCTTTTGACCTATACAATATATACGAGAATGGTCACCAAGAAACTAAACTGTATTTTTTTCCCATAATATTACACATTATTAAACTATGTAATCACAACGGTTTAGTTACATTAGATTACTAGTTTCTGGCCGATCACTAAAGTTAAAACAAGGTGAGCACGGTTAGTAACATGGATAAGTGACTATTCATAGAAACAAAAGATGGAAATTGCATGCTGTTTGACTCCAGCGAGGCGGGAAAAAGACACTTCTTTGATAGTATTGAATAAGCATAGAGAAGTGATTCGATCCCCTAAAATTGAGAGTAAAAGAACAATATTATTGAGTTAGGTCAATTTTTTGTTGTTGCTTGATATATCATTCAAAAAGAATATATTATTTTTAATTATTATATTATTTTGGATTTATATGCTACATTATAAATTTAAACAAAAATATTTACTTATCGATTAAGCGCATCTATGTCATAAAAATCTAAATGCATTTCAAGTTTCATTTTAGCATGGTATCATTAAATTAAATTTTGTTCATAGTATAAAATGTCGACTTATCGATGCAATATGCTGTTACTTCAGTACCGGCAATGAAATGTTACTTGCTGCGGAATAATAAAAAAAAGCGTATATATTGGTTCGTATCGGTAAAAAAGTTAATAACGTGTTCGTTAAGTGACGATCTTATGTACAACAAGTATGATAAAGTCAGCTTGCTGTGTAAACGTGACACAAACGTATTTGTTCGCAGTTACTTTTTAGCATACTGAGTCGGTGTTTTTAAAAGCATGTCTAATTTAGAAATATATAATAGCAAAAAAAAAATTAGATAATAACTAAAGAATAAATTGTAGCTAGAAGGACGGGACGAATAAATATATATAAAATAAAAGAAACGACTTAAATATTTTTCACGAAAGCAAATCGACAAAGTTATTTCAACATTAATTTCAATATGCACACTCTATATAAATGTATCACTATAAAGGTACAAGATTATCTTTTGAAAAAAATACAGGAGGATGAAATAACAATGCCTGAACAAAAGTCACGAAATCCTGATAAATGTTTTCTCGTTAGTCGGGTTTCGTGACGAAAGGTATCGTTAGCTCACAAGATACTCGCACGACGTGTCTGCTTAAAAAATGCATTTTTATATCGGAGAACTGTCAAAATACCATAATTACAACACAGAAAGATGTTAAATAATGCTTCAGGGATTGAAACTCTCTGCAGAGAAAATGACACCGATTTTTGCACCTTTAATTCGAACTTGATGAATTCCATCTTAAGAATATTGAATATTTTTAAATGATCACTTGTGTTCATTTTTATAACAAATTTCTTCAGAAAATTAACATACTTATAATATAAGATTCGTGACTCTATTGCTAATATTCATTAATATTTATCCAATACTACCCTTTTTGATCAAGTTTGAGAAAGCAATTGCAGAGTCTCATTCCCTCCTTCATTATTTGACAAATGTTTAATATAAAATTAAGATATACAATAGGAAAACTAAGAACAATTGATCGAATATATTTAATAATTATAACAAATAACATCGCCGAATATCAAATATCTCTCGTACATTTATTATTCGATGTTTGTTAATCAATATTGACAGTTAGTTCGATGCCCCCCCAGTGTGATGTCATGTTTATAAAATATCACATGGCGTTAAAATAAAATTGCAAAATAAGAAACAGACTATAGTGTAGAGTGTATAGAATGTGTCGTAGTTGGAGATGATGGGGAAGAAACTGGTAATAAGTTGGTAGGAATAAAAGAAAGAGAAGAAAGTAAGTAAGCAAGCAGGTATAGAGGTGGATACTGAAAAAAAAAATGGACATACTGCAAACTCGTGTCTTTTCGTTGTCTCCTCCATGTTGTCTTTCTCCCCTCCTTAATCTCTTCTCTACTTGCTCCCTTCTCTGTAAAATTCTCTCTCACCTCCCTCCTTTTTACTATCTAGAAGGAAGAGAATGGATCTAAGAAACTTATATTAAAGAGAGACAGAGATGGAGAGAGGAGGTGGAGGGGGGGGGGAGGGATGTAGGGAGAAGTAGAGAGATTTCCACCTACTAAATGAAAAGGACATGGAGTAGGGGTTTAAAGCCAATAAGAGAGATACATATAAAACGGGGAAAAGAGAGAGAGAGAGAGAGAGAGAAAAGGGCGGGAAAGATCGTTCTAGCGCAACGCCGTCATTTATTCGACGCCCCTCGATGTGGTACCAACGACGAGTAAGTACGACATTTCCGCCTTTTCAAAAGGTTAGCAAGAGCATGAACGTAGGCGGAGCTACGCCACCACGCTACTTATTCATTGGTCGACCTAATATTTAATATATCATGTCATAACGATCGGAGTACTGTTGCTATCATTCCCTCTCTCCCTCTCTCTCTTTTTCTTTCTCTCTCTCTTTCTCTCTTTCTTTCTCTCTCTCTGTCTGTCTTTATTTTCCTCCCTTATTTTCGATTTTACTTCTTCCCTTTTTGTATTTTTCATTTTCCATTTCCACCTTTCATTCATGGCCTTATCCATTTTTGTTGGATTATTATTCGCAAATAAAATATTTGTCTTTGTAGATAGGGTGTTTCGTGAATATTATTTCGGTTAGTATATATCTATAGATATTTAAAGAGAGGTAAAAGTTGGAATAATAGAGTTGCGCGCGCAGAGAAGGTTGACTCGTCTGACGAGTACACGCCTTTTTCGTTTACAATCCACCTGGTATTTGTTCTACGAAGAACATGGTCTATTGCATAAATTTGTTTGTTTCTTTCTTTTTCTGTTTTTTTTTTTGCTGGAAAAAATATTCAAACAATTGTCTATTGTCAAATGTCGCCTGGTAATGTGACATATGAGGTTTGGTTTGGGTTGGTTTAGTTTTGTTTCGTTTAACTTTTCTAATAGAGGTCTGATCATTGGAGAATAAAAGTTGCGTTAAACCGAAGTTTAACGATAAGCCATGTAATTATTTTAAGTTCTATTTCTTATCAATTTTCTTTCTATTCAAGTAACGCGTTCTATTCTACGTTTTTTTTTTGTTTTTGAATGTTCATTGTAATTTCGCACAAGACCATAACTGTTTAATATTATTTCTACAAAGCGGTGCCAAAAGACACTTTTCAAATTTTTAACTTCAAATTATTCTTTAATTGTAAATTTAATTATTTCTTCGCGATGAATTTTTGGATTTTTCGTATAACAGTTGTTAAATTTATTTAATGATATCATTTTCCTTCAGCTCATTCTGGATTTAATAAGACACCTTTTTGTCGAAATAGATATATACAAAATCGCGATAGAAATAGTGTTCAAATACAAATTCAATATCTTTCAATGTATTTGTATCCTTTTCTCTTTTTTTTTTTTTTTTAAATGAGAATCAACGAATATAAGCAATGTTATTTGTATAGGTAAAAATATATTTTCAAAAAATATAAATTTAATAATCTTTGTTTTTGTTTTAAGGCGTCGACGTCGAAATTATATTAGCACGCAGCATGACTCTTCTGCAACAATTCCAAAATCCTTGGGATATTCTGACACTCTTGTATGTTACTGTGAAGTATGCCGGTGCAAATCTCTACGAGGCTATCAGACGTATTCATGAAGGTGAGATATTTATCGATTATATTTTGAAAAGTGTGAAACTTCATAAATTACAATAATTTTAATAACTTTGACAGTCGAACAATGGATACTGGAGATTTATTCTATGCTAGAAAGATATATAAAAGAGTATATTTTATTTGTTTTATATAAAATTCATACTATTTATATACTAGTCTTAAATTAATTCAAAATTTAATTAAAACTTGGAATGTGATTTTTCTAACGTTTTAAATAATTTATAAATCATTTTCTAAAAAGAACCATTTATATTTGGTAATTTATTTATATTTAACGTTATAAAAAGTAAATTAACTTTCATTTGAAAAGGTAAAATCCAAATAATTATATAAATTTATCAAGAAATCCAGTAATTGTAAATATAGAAAATAATATTTCATCGTTCTATTATCGCATTACTTAAAAGCAAACAATATTACAATTGTTGTTGAAGTTGGCAAAGTCTCGCGTAGAAGTGTAAACATTTCTGTCATTCGGCTAAATTTACTGGTGCACGTTAGTATATAATAATCAACTATCTTCACATATGCATATGTAGTCCAGGCAAATTAGGGTTTCACCTCGGAATGAGAAGATAGTCGGCTACAAACTTTTATAAACCGTATAGTCCAGGCAAATTAGGGTTTCACCTCGGAATGAGAAGATAGTCGGCTACAAACTTTTATGAACCGTATATTTCAACACCCTAAAACTTGTCTCAAAACCTACTTATCGTAGGGTGTCGGCGACTACAGATATTCCAAGGTCAAAGGTCAAAAAATCGATTTTTTGACCTTTGACCTTGGAATATCTGTAGTCGCCGACACCCTACGATAAGTAGGTTTTGAGACAAGTTTTAGGGTGTTGAAATATAYGGTTYATAAAAGTTTGTAGCCGACTATCTTCTCATTCCGAGATTCATGCCAAAATATGACTAATTTGCCTGGACTAATGATGATACTGTTCTTTCTGAACTCATATTCGTGCTTCGAGAGAGTAGTTCACTTGGTTTGAACGATCGCGTTTGTCACGTTAAAAATAACATTCAATCATGTATGTTAGCAAGTATGTTGTTATATACGCATATTTATAAAATGTATCAAGGAAGATATAGTTTAAATCATTGAAACTCATTGTTTTAATAGTCGCATTCCTATTTAGATAAATAAACGCACTTTAAGGTTTCAGTTACAATCTTAATCGTGATCTTTATTTTTATGATATTCTGTCTGTAGTAATTGCAGTCAGTAACGTTAATAAAAAATAACACTTTTATACGCTGTTAAAAAGGCGTAATTACTGAACAACTTATACAGATTTGATTTATGTAAATGGAATATCTTACGATTATTAAAAGCAATTATCTATAACGTGACAAACAAACATTCATATGCATTTACGTAAAGTATGTTTTTTAATTATTTTTTTTGTTCATATTTTTTTTATATATTCATGTATCGCTAACAGAAGCAGAAAAACATACATAAAAACGTAAACAAACGAATGGAGATATATAGATTCATAAATTAAAAACTATCGTTAAGATAATATTTTATACGCGCGTTATGTGAAACGTAATATCAAATGTTCAATATCGAATTCCACCGATGATTTCACGTGGATTTGACGAAAAATAATAATAAGTATATGAGCCAAATCTATTTACTTGAAGCGCAAATGATTAATTGACGATGAGTCTACTAAAGTGCACTATTTATATTTTATCGTTTAGACTTATGAATTTATTTACATAAAAATATGCAATAGAATATATTCAAAGGTCTTATTTAAACAATAACTATGCATTATGTTCGTTATTTCGCGTATACAAAATTTATTTCATAAACTATACTACACTATTTTCTATTATTTAAATAACACGAGTCACTGTAAATAAGTTTTAGATCAATGAAGAATTTATAACGTACATTCAATTTCGTTATTTTTCATTACTTGTAGACGAATGAACAAACGTTGTGAAGGTGTTTACTTTTTATAAACATTTAATTATTGGTTATTGAACGAACGATGATTGAGTTCAGAAAGCGTATCGTATTTTGTCATAATCTTTGTCATAAATCTTTGCCATAAATCTTTGCCAACTTCAATACGATTGAGATTTATATGTTACATTAATTTGTAACGTTTTCAACTGAAAAGAAACGAGAACGACATTGTCTTTGAATTCGTTTGTCGAACATGCGGATTCGTTTTTTCTTTTTTTTTTTTAAAAAAATTCGACGATGAATCAGTATTTTTGAAGATTCATCTTCTTCTGAAGATCAGCGTTAATCCAAAATTGATCGCTTGGGTTTATCATCACTGAAGAGACTCGATTATAAGAAGATTTTATTTAGGATTATTTCTATTCTTCTTTTACACATTTTTATAATTAATACTACTTCATTCATCGTACGGACTTGCATTTCATTAATAACTATTTATAATATACGTCCACAAATCGTTAACTTTCAACATTTGAAGACTGCGGATGCCAAAGAAATAGGTTTTTTAAGATTGGGATCAAGGTATGATATCTTTTGAGATAAAATAGGAGTACAAACGGTTAAGACATAATGGGAAATTATTTAACGATTAAACGAACTTACCTATGTGAAGTTCTATCCTAATTGTATTACGCGCCTTCCCCTTAGATCACTTGGTAGATGTTTTTAATCTATACGGCAGCTTAGCTACAGTATATCAAAATAAAAATGTATAACATTTGTACAATTGGGCAAACAATTTTTTGTCTTGTTCTACAATCTCTCGATCGTAAAACTTTGCAAAAGTTTTCGACTACGCAATCCATCCTGACGTGCTTCTTGATGAGATTTATATTAATTCCGCTTCTCTTGGCTGATTATGTTGCCGCGTGACGAGTGCTGTATGCTGCCAAAATGTCTGTATTAACTCCACTGTTTTTTAGAACAGTCTTTATCCAACGACTGAGTGTTTGAGACGTAACCGCCCTGTGCGGTTTTTTCCAAGATATGAACAGCTTATTTTCTCGACGTCTCAACTCATCAGTTTTGATCAAGTATTGCTTTATAGCACTAACTACACAGATGGAAGGGTCATCCCTGAAGATCGATAGAATTAATGACGGTTTTTTTTTTTTTATGCTTTAATTGATTTTAGAAATCTACATTTTATCGAAGGTCTCCGTTGACTTATTTCCTCATTTATTATAAAACCTAAATTTCTTAATAACTTACTGGTTTGGTTTAAATTATCTAAACACCCAGTATCTGATTCGCTCATAAGCCACGCATCATCTAAATATCACACAGAGATATAAGCCTGACTTTTTTCTCAGTATTGCAAAGACTGATTTTAAAATCTTTGTAAAAACGTAAGGTGCTGTACTAAGCCCGAAAGGCAAACACGTGAACTCATAAAGTTCACCATTAAATATAAATCTCAAATATTTCCTATATTTGACATCTATTGACACTAAGTAGTACGCATCTTTTAAATCCAGTGTTGCCATATAACAGTCCTAATATCTAATATCATCTAGTCGTGGTTGTCAACCGCTCTGATCACTACAATTATCACTAGATTAGCTAGTGTCATCTTCAGTAAAGATACGCGAATTAAACATCACGTCTTTAATTAATGCACAAAAAAAAGGTTTTTGATACAAGTAAAGTGTATTAGGAGTTTCAAAAATTCAAGAGATATACTGTGTACGTTGTATACTAATTGCGCGACGGCCAATTTATTAGCTGTGTATTGATGACTAGTTCATCCGTCGCAACAAAATTGAGGATTAAAAAAAATATGATGCGCGAATAAAGAAATTGAAATGTTTCACTATAACTAGTATCTATATAATTTATAAGAAAAGGTGATAAATGTTGATATCGATTATTTAAAAAACATTTGGAACCATCAAGTTAACATGATTTATTTTTTTTTGCTATTGTTATTTTAATTTTAACGACAATCAATCAATTCAATTCGATTTGGTTGATAGTTTATCGAATTATAATTTATATTGTTTTAAAATTTTCTTAGCCGTTTTCTCGCGGCTCGTATATCGTTGAATCTTATTTTTAATCATGAATTCAAGATTTACTTTACAATGTATTCATTGTAAGTTCAATGTGAGATTTTACATATGAAATAAAACATGAAAACATGATCTCTTTATTGATAACCATTATAAAAATAATATTTCATTCGTAATGTTACGATTATATAATTCCCTCTTCTATAATGCGATAATTATTGTTAGTCATAATAATTCTCGTGTTAGGAATAAAATGTACAACATTATTAATATTGATTATATAATTTTGTCTGAAGAAAAAAACAGACTTTGAAACGTATTATCATAAAAAAATATTTTAAGTAAATTTAAATTAATGATGTAATATTCATCGTCGATGATTCAATGCAAAGCAATTTATTGATAGTATGATGATGAATTATTAAAAAACTAAACGTCATTAGTTATTTATCGGCTGAATTAACATGTAAGAAAGAATTGAAAAGAATATAAAGAAGATAGTTGAGTAATTCGTTAGGACAGCTGGGTGAATGTTAGCTACTACCTAATGCTAAAATTTAATCGATCGTTAAATATCACTTGAGTAGTCGTTCTATTAAACGAAGTTAAAAAAAGGGACATTATAGATTATTTTTTGAAAATAATTGCATCCACGTAATATATTGTTTAATATTACAATTTATAGAGCCCATTGTGTGGTAGTAAAAAATCTAATATTATTATTAATATCTTATACATTATTTTTTAAATGAAAATACTGTTTTTATGTAATACGGTTAATTAACACAATTAATTATATGTAACAGAAAATAATACAATATGCTTTTCCTTTTGATAACAATTATAAAATAATGAGAATATGATAAACATTTGAATGGTTGTCTTATCAAGGTGTCAGAAATAAAAAATTATTATCTATTACGTATACACCGTTTATTAGTTTTTTTACATGCGCAATACATAAAATAGTGTGGAAATAATAATAGTGTTAGAAAATAAAATACCTTGTGAGAGAAAATAGAAATACGGGGTACAATTGATCTTTAAATGTGGAATGGACAAATACATTTTTTAATCAAATTAATTCACTTCGACGATGAATATTTTTATACTTTTCCAATCTTTCATACAAATTTCAATAAAATAGAATACAAAAGCGAGAATTTCAAATGATATCGGATTG